TTTTTGTGCCTTACTATACTATGACATTTTTTGACATTCTTATGCCTTACTATACTATGAAGTTTAATGCCTTACTATACTATGACTTTTTTTGACATTTTTATGCCTTACTATACTATGACATTTTTTGACATTTTTATGCCTTACTATACTATGATATTTTATACCTTACTATAGCATGACGTCTTTTGACATTTTTATGCCCTATTATACTGTGACGTTTTATGTCTTACTATACTATGACATTTTTTGACATTTTTATGCCTTACTGTACTATGACATTTTTATGCCTTAGTATACTGTGACGTTTTATGCCTTATTATACCATGACGTTTTATGCCTTACTATAGCATGACGTTTTGTAGTGTTTTTTTGCCTTACTATACTATGACGTTTCATGGCGTTTTCATGCCTTACTATATACTATGAAGTTTTATGACATTTTTATGCTTTACTTTACTATGACATTTTTTGACATTTTTATGCCTTGCTATACTATGACATTTTTTGGCGTTTTCATGCCGTACTATACTATGATATTTTTTGACATTTTTATGCCTTAGTGTACCGTGACCTTCCATGCCTTACTATACAGTGACGTTTTTTGACATTTTTATTCCTTACTATAGTATGATGTTTTATGCCTTATTGTACTATACTGTCTATTATGCATTCATATTCCTTTCTATGCTCATCACACTTTATGTCATACTCCACTATAGGTATGTCACGATACCAGAAATTTAGTAGTTTATACCAATTCTCGATACCTATTTCAATACCATGGTTAAAAAAACAAAATAAAAAGAAACAGAAACAGAAAAACACACACAACAAATTCTCTGTACTTTCTATTTCACTCATTTATTGAAAAAATACCAATGATAAAACAAAGAAAAGTGGCATGTAGCCTTCAAGTATTAAAGTAAACAATGCTGTGCTAAAATATACAGTCAGTCAACTTTTTATTGCAGAGCATTTTAATACTCTTGAGACATAAAAATATCAACATATAATAGATATAATAATAAAATTAAACAACTTTTGACACTGAAACAAGCCTTCAAGTATTTAAAGTAAACATTACTTTGCTAAAATATGAGCAGTAAATTTTTTATTGCACAGCATTTCAGCTGTGGTTTGGAAAGTGCGAAGGCACCGTTTACAAATGGGCTTTTGCGGGTCCATTATCAACCCCACATCATCCGCCTCGAAAGCAAAATATTTCCATAGGAGACTCTTCTGGCATTTTCTTTTGACGAGCCGAGGAGCTGCAGCTGGACCAAGTTATGTGCCTGAACTTGTTGCCATCTTCCATTTGTTATTGCGGCTAGACTACAGCATAGTAGGGGACGTTCCTCGTTTTTATGCCTTACTATACTATTATGTTTTTTGACATTTTTATGCCTTACTATACTGTGATGTTTTATGCCTTACTATAGCATGAAGTTTCATGGCGTTTTTATGCCTTACTATACTATGACTTTTTTTGGCCTTTTTATGCCTTACTATACTATGACGTTTTTTGACATTTGTATGTCTTACTATACTATGACGTTTTTTGACGTTTTGTGCCTTACTATACTATTATGTTTTTTGACATTTTTATGCCTTACTATACTGTGATGTTTTATGCCTTACTATAGCATGACGTTTTTTTTGTGACGTTTTATGCCTTACTATACTATGACATTTTATGCCTTACTATACTATGACGTTTTTTGACATTTGTATGTCTTACTATACTATGATGTTTTATGCCCTTCTATAGCATGATGTTTTTTTTGTGCCGTTTTTATGCTTTAGTATGCTGTGATGTTTTATGCCTTACTATACTATGAGATTTTTTTGACTTTTTATGCCTTACTATACTATGACATTCTTTGATGTTTTTATGCCTTACTATAGTATGACGTTTCTTGACGTCTTGTGCTTTAGTATACTATGACGCTTTATACCTTACTATACTATGAAGTTTCATGGCGTTTTTGTGCCTTACTATACTATGACTTTTTTTGGCCTTTTTATGCCTTACTATACTATGAAGTTTTTTGACATTTTTATGTCTTACTATAATGACATTTTTTGACATTTTTATGCCTTACTATACTATGACATTTTATGCCTTACTATACTATTATGTTTTTTGGTGTTTTTATGCCTTACTATACTATGATGTTTTTTGACATTTGTATAGCTGACTATACTATGACGTTTTTTGACATTTGTATGTCTTACTATACTATGACTTTTTTTGGCGTTTTACGCCTTACTATACTATGACTTTTTTTGGCGTTTTACGCCTTACTATACTATGACTTTTTTTGGCGTTTTACGCCTTACTATACTATGACTTTTTTTGGCGTTTTACGCCTTACTATACTATGACTTTTTTTGGCGTTTTACGCCTTACTATACTATGACTTTTTTTGGCGTTTTACGCCTTACTATACTATGACTTTTTTTGGCGTTTTACGCCTTACTATACTATGACTTTTTTTGGCGTTTTACGCCTTACTATACTATGACTTTTTTTGGCGTTTTACGCCTTACTATACTATGACTTTTTTTGGCGTTTTACGCCTTACTATACTATGACTTTTTTTGGCGTTTTACGCCTTACTATACTATGACTTTTTTTGGCGTTTTACGCCTTACTATACTATGACTTTTTTTGGCGTTTTACGCCTTACTATACTATGACTTTTTTTGGCGTTTTACGCCTTACTATACTATGACTTTTTTTGGCGTTTTACGCCTTACTATACTATGACTTTTTTTGGCGTTTTACGCCTTACTATACTATGACTTTTTTTGGCGTTTTACGCCTTACTATACTATGACTTTTTTTGGCGTTTTACGCCTTACTATACTATGACTTTTTTTGGCGTTTTACGCCTTACTATACTATGAAGGTTTTTGACATTTTTATGCCTTACTATGCTATTATGTTTTTTTGAAGTTTTTATACCTTACTATACTATGAGATTTTTTGGCATTTTTGTGCCTTACTATACTATGAAGTTTTTTGACATTTTTATGTCTTACTATAATGACATTTTTTGACATTTTTATGCCTTACTATACTATGACATTTCATGCCTTACTATACTATGACGTTTTTTGACATTTGTATGTCTTACTATACCATGATGTTTTATGCCTTACTATAGCATGATGTTTTTTTTGTGCCGTTTTTATGCCTTAGTATGCTGTGACGTTTTATGCCTTACTATACTATGACGTTTCATGGCGTTTTTATGCCTTACTATACTATGACGTTTTTTGACATTTTTAGGCCTTACTATACTATGACGTTTTTTTTCTTCAGTATGACGTTTTTTGATGCTTTATTGTGCCTCACTATACTATTACGTTTTTTTGAAGTTTTTATGCCTTACTATAGTATGAAGGTTTTTGACGTCTTGTGCTGTAGTATACTATGACGCTTTATGCCTTACTATACTATTATGTTTTTTAAAATTTTTTATACCTTACTATAGTATGAAGTTTTTTGACATTTTTATGCCTTAGTGTACTGTGACGTTTTATGCCTTACTATACAGTGACGTTTTTTGACGTTTTAATCCTCACTATACTATTACGTTTTTTAACGTTTTTATGCCTTTCTATACTATGACTTGTTTTTGGTGTTTTTATGCCTTACTATACTATGACATTTTATGCCTTACTATACTATGACGTTTTTTTTCAAAGTTTTCATGCCTTACTATACTATGATGTTTTATGCCTTACTATAGCATGACGTTTTTTTTGTGTCGTTTTTATGCCTTAGTATGCTGTGACGTTTTATGCCTTACTATACTATGACGTTTCATGGCGTTTTTATGCCTTACTATAATATGACGTTTTTTGACATTTGTATGTCTTACTATACTATGACCTTTTTTGACATTTGTATGCCTTACTATACTATGACGTTTTTTGACATTTGTATGTCTTACTATAGCATGACATTTTTTGACATTTGTATGTCTTACTATACTATGTTTTTTGACATTTTTTAGGCCTTACTATACTATGTTTTTTTCTTCAGTATGACGTTTTTTGACGTTTTATGCCTTACTATACTATGACCTTTTTTGACATTTGTATGTCTTACTATACTATGACCTTTTTTGACATTTGTATGTCTTACTATACTATGACCTTTTTTGACATTTGTATGTCTTACTATACTATGACCTTTTTTGACATTTGTATGTCTTACTATACTATGACCTTTTTTGACATTTGTATGTCTTACTATACTATGACCTTTTTTGACATTTGTATGTCTTACTATACTATGACCTTTTTTGACATTTGTATGTCTTACTATACTATGACCTTTTTTGACATTTGTATGTCTTACTATACTATGACCTTTTTTGACATTTGTATGTCTTACTATACTATGACCTTTTTTGACATTTGTATGTCTTACTATACTATGACCTTTTTTGACATTTGTATGTCTTACTATACTATGACCTTTTTTGACATTTGTATGTCTTACTATACTATGACCTTTTTTGACATTTGTATGTCTTACTATACTATGACCTTTTTTGACATTTGTATGTCTTACTATACTATGACCTTTTTTGACATTTGTATGTCTTACTATACTATGACCTTTTTTGACATTTGTATGTCTTACTATACTATGACCTTTTTTGACATTTGTATGTCTTACTATACTATGACCTTTTTTGACATTTGTATGTCTTACTATACTATGACCTTTTTTGACATTTGTATGTCTTACTATACTATGACCTTTTTTGACATTTGTATGTCTTACTATACTATGACCTTTTTTGACATTTGTATGTCTTACTATACTATGACCTTTTTTGACATTTGTATGCCTTACTATACTATGAGGTTTTTTGACGTTTTTATGCCTTTTCCATAGCTTGACGTTTCATGCTCTAGTATACTGTGACATTTTATGCCTTTCTATACTATTATTTTTATCACTATTATTTTGTCAGGTATGAGGATGGTTTCTTGTTGGCTAACCCGGGCAGTGTCGACCTGGCTGAGAGACGGCCGTTGGATGAAGAAAACGGGCGCCTGAGAGACATAGTCTCGTCCCTTCGCTCAGCCATGGCCACAGAGAGGTCCAAGAGGGAGAGCGCTGAGCGGGAGTGTGCCGCCGTGCTGCACGAGTTTGAACGTCTGGAACAGCGTCTCTTAGGAGCAGAGGGCTGCCAGCTGCGGGTTCAGGAGCTTGAGGCTGAGCTCCAGGAGATGCAGCAGTTGAGGAAGTCCAGGATGTGTATGATTGGGGGCATGGAAGACGGCCTAGAGACACTGCTCAACAATGGCCCTGAGACAGACACCCCAGAGTTGAGCACAGGGCTGGAAGAAGGGGGAGAAGGAGGTGCTGGAGAGGGAGGGGCCACAGGGCAGCAGGGAGTCCCAGTGAGGAAAAGCTGCAGCGACACAGCTCTGAATGCAATCTCAGCTCGTGATGCCTCAGGTAGACGTCAGGGCAGTTACGCCATGCATGCCAACGGAGTGCGCAAACGGGGCATGTCCATCCTGAGGGAGGTGGATGAGCAGTACCACGCCCTGCTGGAAAAGTATGAGGAGCTGCTGGGGAAGTGCCGGCGTCATGAAGAGAGCCTGTGCCATGCTGGAGTGCAGACCTCGCGGCCTGTCTCCAGGGACCCCTCCATGAAAGAGTACAGCATGATCACCGCAGGGCCTTCAACATCGGGGGCCATTGCCACACCTCCCACACCCCCTCAAACTCCCTCCACCCCAGAGGCCCTGGAGGGGATCAGCAGGCAGGTGGAGCAGGTGGACAAACGGCTCAGCCAGAACACACCGGAGTACAAGGCGCTGTTCAAAGAGATCTTCTCCCGCTTGCAGAAGACCAAGAGTGACTTGAACTCCACCAAAAGCAGAAAGACTAACAAATGAGCTGGAGCTCATTATAACAGCCGCTGATACCACATGCACTGAAGACAGTAATTACTCAAGACTTATATATCTTAATTTACCTCAGTGTTTTGAGGGATTCTTGTTTAACATGATTTTAGGGGTGGATGGCTGTAGTCACATGGTAGGATAATGAATGATCTCTAGGAGGGAAGCTAGGCTGATTAATTTGAAGCTGCCAAATGTTATAATTCTCCACATGGATGAAAAATCGTTGTAGATGTGGATGAAATGCCTTTTGTGAGAGACTGTAACTGACAAATTATCAGAATGGAAGGTCTTTTTTCTGACTAAGGACAATCTAGGACAATCTAGTATGTGATGTAGTATCACATACTAGGAGTATTTGAGATGTACTGATGCAGAAATGATCTAATCTATTGCCATTTATTTTTCAAGTATGGAAAATAATTGAGCCAAATAATTAATATCAAAAAAAAAGAGAAAAAAACTGCCATTGGCGTTGAAACTACTTACATTTGAAGCATGTATCTGTCTAATAAACACTAAGTGCTAGAATGGTCTTTAAAGTAGGTAAAAGTAATTCCCACTTGCTTTTGACCAGCTTGAGCTGCTTAAAGATGCAAGAGTGATATTTAGACTGTGTATTTTGAGTTGGTTGGATGGTACAAATCTTTCCAGACAGCTGCCAAAGTGTACTGTGCATAAGTGTTTGATGGAGTTCTGTTTGCTTACGTGTGTTATTATGAAGGAGATGACACCTGAATGGGTGGAGATGCCTCTGTAGTGTTTTTACAGCATGCATTACAAACTACAGGGGACGAATGATCTGCATCTTTGTTTCAGGGATTTGTTTGATCATTTCATTGAAAAATAATCAGTTTTACACTGTGGTATCGCATTGTCAGTCATCCTTGTAGTAGTCTATTTACATTGTTCGTTAATTAAAATAAATGTATCAACCATGTTTTTTTTGTTAAGTGCTCAGGGAGGCAACAATTCTCTATTATTACAATTCTCTATTGTTATAGCAAATCTGAATAAAACAACAGGACAGACAGAAGCCCAGTCTGAACACTTTAATGTGAACACAGGATATCAGTAAACTGTAGGTAATACAAGTAGCACACAGAGTCAAATCCAACCCACAGAGAAAAACATCAGTCCATGATACATGAGAGCTGAATGAAGCTTGGACACCATTCACTTACTTATGGTGCGTATAAAAATGGAAACACTTTTATAAAGCACGGAGTGTTAACATTGGTGTCTGAGGACTGATGTCTCTATATAGGTTCAGAAGTCAATTACAGACAACGTTTCACCTCACTGATGTTGAGCACAGAGTGCTGCCAGGTCAGCAGGAGCAGCATGTGGTCGTAAGAGACTGGAGGCACAGCGGACATTGGTAATGCTGAACTAGAGAAATACAAGGTGAGCGGTTTAACAGTCCCTGTGATCGATTCAGGAAGGAACTAAGGTAACACCTCATACAAACTGGCAATATGGCCTCGGGTACTAGAGAGGAGACTGGGCAATACAAATCCATTAATACGACCCGGGCTCTGATTTAGAGTTGTTGTAAATGACCTAAAAAAGTTAATTTGACTGATTACTGAAAACGACAAGTACTGAAATGAAGACGGTTTGTAAATGATGAAAGTTTGTAAATAGAGCTTACATGATTGACATCTATATGTAATGGCTTTTACAAATCTTCAAACCTGAAGTAAAGGCGTTAAAAAGTCCTTAGTCCTGATTCCCTGCCCATATATTACAAGTATTGTTAAAAACAGGCTCACATGATGGTCTGGCAAATATCATCTGAAGGCAAATGGCTCAACTAGGTTTTTAATGTTTTCCTATGGGTTCTTAAGGCCACATGGCTGCTAAAATAACTGCCAAAATACCCTGATCAGAGGAACAGCCACACCTAAAGCAAGGGGTCACAAGGGGTTAGAGGTAATTTTGTTTCTCCCGTTCTCTCAGCAGATTTTGCAGGGTGCTAAACCATTTGAAAAAGGCATGGCCTAAATTCCAAATAATTTACCAAGTCTCTGGTACAAATAATCTGCTCAAAGGCTTTAGGAGGACTGTGTCCGAGAGTTGTGTCCAGCAATGATTGCTCAATGACCGTACAGTGGCCACATACATTATAGCACTACTGCTTCCTGTACTATGCTTTCCAAGGCAGATCATGGTAATCGTACAAAACAATCTGAAAAACAGAGAAAAAGAAAAGGGAGAAGAAAAGAAAGCAACAAGCGACAAAGGGATTCACATAGTTCATTTTCCAACAGCAGTTAACAAATAATATTTTTTTTCCTTTTTTCTTTTTTTCCTTTTATAAACAAACCATAACTGCAAAATCTGGATTGTGCACATTGTTTGCTTTCTCCATTTTTAAAGATTTAATACTTAGCAGAAAAGGTTGGGTGCAAACAAATGAAACATTACTATGGGAGGAATGATCAAGTGACTGGAATTTAGAAAAGGGAAATGAAACTAAGAGCAGGAGGAGGGGACGTCAATGGACGGAGAGAGCAAAGTTTAAATCGACACATAATCCAGAGATGAATCCAGACAGAAAAAGTGGAATGACAGCAAGAGAAAGAAAGAGGGGCAAAGCAGAGGAAGACATTGATGGGAAGATGGCGAGGGGGAATCAGTCTTTCCATTCTTTCTTGATAGTGAGGCTCCACTCCCAGGAGAGATGATCGTGTTTGTCGTCATCAGTGAACTTGGACTTGATGTTGTAGGTGCCGCGGGCGAGCATCCCTCTGGGTGACTCCTCCAGGGTGGTGAGGAATTCGTATTCCTCATTTGGTCTGGGCCCATAGCTGCCGACCATGTAATCTGACTTGTCAACTAGATATTAGAGAGGGAGCGAAAAGGCGTTGTAAGAAGTTTCTGCACATCATGCACATCCTCAATTCCATATTTAGCAAAATTGCATGCACAGTTATACAGATTTTTTACTGTATGTCTGTATCTACTAAAATGTAGTCCAGTATAGAAACATTGACTCAACCTAATCATCACTGATAAGTATAGCAAACAGCTTTTAGATCCCACTGTTTGTACAGTAAATATGTGGCTGGAGCAGCAGTCGGCTTAACTTAATGGTGTAGGTTAACTTAAAGACATGAAACAAGGGGAACAGCTAGCCTGGCTCTGCCCAAAGGTAACAAAATCCATCATATTAATTGATATCATTTCTTATCTGTACAAACACAGTATGAAAACAATTCAATATTTTACACAGGTTTTATTTACGGGACTATTTCTTTGGCTGGTTGCCTGGAAATCAGCAGTAACTTAAGGAAGTTACTGGTCTTAGCCAAAAAACAAAAACGTGTCTGGCAAATAACCCCTTGTACAACCATACCATGTTGAGATATAACATGTTAATCACTGAGCTTTAGTGGTGCTGGTAGGTGGATTTCATTAGCCGGCCCACCTGTTTCCCCCTGCTTCCAGTCTATATGCTAAGATAAGCTGAATGGCTCTGACTGTGGCTTCATATATAGTGTACAGACATGAGAATGGAATCAATCATCTTATTCTCAGTCTTGGAAAGAAAGCAAATAAGTGTGTTTCTCAAACTTTTCCTTTAAGCCAGAAGAAGCTACTGTTACATGTAAAATCTACCAACGGAATTGCAGAGATTAAACGAAATAATTTTGGCAGCTTTACCTTTAACTCCTTTCCTGAATGATTGTTGAATGTACTTCAGGCCGGACACAATCTCCTTGTTGACCTGCAAAAAGCAACATGTATCATCTTGCTGAGCAGTTTCCCAGGACAAATATAGCTCACTGCAGCTGCAGTAACATCCATGCCTCCAACAGTCTGTGAAAACAAACAGAGACAAAGACCAGACTCTCTCACCTTAAAGTTGATCTTTATTCTGTATTCAACTCCCTCCTTCAGCACAAATGGGTTCTTCCTGAAGCCTTCCAGGTCTCCTGGCAGGGAAAAGCAACACAGCAGAGAAAAAAAAGTCAGTGATACTGACCACCAGGTGGCACAAGGCTTCAAGTGAGCCCAGGTGCAGTTCAGTGTGACCACCAAGGGAGGGCAGGGGTGTCATCAGGAAATGGCTAATTAACCCACTTAAACAGGAATGATGTCATTACTAATTAGCAGACTAATGATCCAGCAGGTCATTAGGTCTATATTTGCACACAAGAAGGGGAGTGATTAGTGTTCATAATTAATGTTACTATGAGCCAGTTCTTCCAGTGTGTTTGTTGTATGGAAAGACATCTGTCTAAATGAGGGTCATGTGCATTCAAGTGAAAAATTTTTCAGACATCAACTACAAATGATCTGTTTTCACTCTAAAATCTGCTGTTGAGTTTTGTCCAGATTCCAGCCTCACACATACCAAAATGCCCTGTCTGCTCTACTCACCTTGTAAATCAAGGACCAGAGGCTGTGGTGCCGCCTCGCATACCAGAGTCATTCGTGTCACCTGGACATTGGGGGCGGTGGGATCTGAGACAGAGAGACACAGAATTAAAAATTATAACCATAAGATCATCAGTTTCTAACCAATTTATAATAAAGAAATGTTAAAGATAGATAATCTATAATCCAAAATATTTCAGTAAGTGATAATAGTCAAATAATCAAATTTATAGTGTATTTTATTAGTGAAAAACAATGACAGGATATGTTTGTCATCATTTACAAGAACTTTCAAAACCTTTAAGGATCTGAAAATGATCAGTTATACTTTCACTATATCTGTTTGGTTCAGTCATTAAAAACTTTTGAAAAGACCTGGACCTCCACATGTTGCTGGTAAATAGGTACCAAAACACTACATGAACTGTATTTTTTAAAATATGTTACTGTGCTGAATATTATTTAAATTTTTCCTATTTTACAAGGGTCATACACACTTTGACACAAATGTCAAAATAAAATGACAGTATGACAGTATAATGCAAGTAAAGAAGCGTTAACATTCTCACTTAACTTCAACAGTTTTTACTATTCATGTGTGCATCTGAATTGTTGTCACAACAAATAACAGTACACTACTTTGCACTAGTGGTAGAGAAAACACGCAGAGCAGCAACTTTACCAGCATTTGAAAAGAATGTTATGGACACACACGCATCTTTAAAGACTACAAAAAGTAAAGCGGAGATTTACTGCAGTGGTTTTTGCAGCAGGTGGCTGTACTAGTGACTGAAATCAAAATGTGTGCGCATCTACATTCACATCGAGTGTGGTTAGTTAATGGTTTTGCATTTGTTCTAGAACACTGTGAGAGTTATTTGATTGCAATCACTAACCTGCAACCACAGCAGTGCTACCCAGGAGTGCCTCCTTGTACTTGCGCAGGCTCTCATCATCTTTGTCCAGCTCCTGGATCTCCTGTAAGCTCTTCTGGGCGGGAGGTTTGTAGTTGACTGCGCTGTCGGTCTCTTCGTTGGCTGCTGCCAGCGCTGCCAGCTGCTCTGGTGTAGGTTCCTGCTCTGCCATGGTGCTAACCACTGCAGGAAAGTGACAACATAGAGGATCAGTTAGAGGACAAGAGAATAAAATAATAAAGACTGATGGCAAGGATCCATGCTCTTTACTTTTGCTTTAATGAAATCTGAGCTACATGTGGGGCAAGGCAGAGCTTGGTTATTAGACATGCGGCTGCTAGATAAGTATTACAGATTACTTATGCTGAGGCAAACCTCAATGAACTTTGATTTGGGGCTATGGCAATGTAACGCGGCGGTTCATGTGGACACACTGGAAAAATTATTTTCAATTTATTTTGCAGTCTTTTTATTCTGGTATTTTCAGTCTCTACGGTATAATGGCACATGCTTTGCAAAAATTTGAAACATTTGACTGCATCTTGAAATCTTAATGAAATAAACTTCACAACAGGCTCAGTGTGGCTTATAATGGGTAACGTCATTATTTTTGGCAAGAGACAAGGCAGTTTTATTGTGTTTTTGTTCCCTTAGCGTATGCTTACACATATCTGTACACGTGAGTGCACAAACATACACACTAGCAGAGACGAGAGCCAGGAGACGTGACATGCTGGTGCTCACAGTCTACTTGGCTGAGAAGCCAGTTTCTCTGAGGCCAAAGCAGTGACATACAACAGAGGCTGGTAGTCTAAAAGCTAGGACAAACTGCTGTCAGGCTTCAGCACTGAGACAGCTGAGGAAGAGCAGTGCTAATTTGGCTATTTACACCCAGCTGCACTGTCATACCAGTCACTACTCATTAGGAGTAAAGATGCTGATTCTGAGCAGGAAGCAGCACATTAAGAGATCATCTTTATTCTGTGAGAACAAAGAGGTACTTGGGTAAGCTACACAATGTAACTGTTGCTTAGAAAATGCTGTAAAAAATTAGTTATCTGATAACATCTGGTGCACATATGCTGGGCGAAGCCTATGCAAAGCTGATCAACACCTGCAAAAGCTGGATGATGATATGCTCATAACACTTATTCTGTGTGGTCTGTTCTGGTTGTGCTCTCCCTGCAGTTCTTGGAGAAGTGACAACACACAAATAGGTCTAATACCGTTGGAGTTGATTTCATAGCAACTGAGTTAAACAAAATACAAGGTATGTCCTTGTTGATACAGCGTTAATAGTTTTGATGCACTTTTCTAACGCAGACAAAAATGTGTTTGAATTTTGTGACAGTGACAAAACACTCCTCTAAGTTAACAGGCAGCTAAGGACCTCAAACCTCTAGTCCTAAATGCTTTCGACATATGCATGTTGAAAGAACTCTACTTCCTGTATTTGAGTGAATTCAACCAAGCATGAACCTACACCATCAAACTGTAGAAGAGGAGTTAGCAATATGAAATCCATTTTAGTGTGTATTCTTATTCATGCAATCTGATTTATATAGTATTAAAACCAACCCATCGAGGAATAAAGATCAATGCTTCAATGTTGACGATTTAATCAAATCTGTGTTCAGAAAAATGAACTACCCTAAAGAAAGAGGAAGATTACAACAGAAACGGCTTCTCCATTAAACTCTTATCAAACTAAACATGTTCTACAGTTGCCATAAACAATCTTTCTCTATTAATAGCTTCGTTCACTGTTGCAAATCAGCGTTAACGTGCGAGTTAAAGGTCGTCATAAAATCAAGCTTACAGATCAGACAAATGCAAACACCAGATGACAAACAATCATAATGCATGACACTATATAAAGAAGGCTTCATCTGTTCAACACAGGTGGATACTCTGAGTAAAACTAACACCACACACACTATTTACAGTCTGAGGAACCACAATAAATCACACTACTGCAAACAGAATCACCAAAGAAACTGGTTTGTCACTCTTTCAACCCGTCCTCTCTGCTCTATTGTGTTCACCATATACAGTTGGGTATTAGCCAAACAGGAACTGAAAATGTGGAAACTTTTTTTTTTTTTTTTTAAATAAATGGGGCCTCTGTGTTAATTCCTTTTCTGCCACTAGTTTTGCTTCGGCTGGTCATCAGTGTGTGAATGTTTCTGGTTGGAGATAATGAGTGAGGCTCCTTGTTGCAGAGAGAGAGAGACAAGACAGGAAAACGCCACCAGATAACACAGTCATATCATTCTTGAAGTAGCAAGCAACAGGTTGTTTTTCTCACTTCCTCTCGCCGCTTGTTGTACGAGCACTCAGCCACTGCAAGTTGCACTGTGACTGCACTGTACCAAACTGTCAGAGGAGGAAGTTGCTGGGTCATTAAGACTGATGTGTTTCTCTGCTGTGGCTTAGGTACAAATAGAGTCTCTGAAGACACAAGCGTGCATGTAGCAGGCTTGCACTACATTTAAAGTATATAAAGGACTATAACTAATAATAATTATTATTATTATTAAACTGTATATTTATCATATAGTTTTTGATTTCAGAGACCCAATTAGTCAACTGACTGATTAGTTGATCAACAGAAATGTATCCGTCAACTGCTCTGACAATCAATCATTTGTCAGTTTAAGACAAAATGTCCTCTAGTTCCAGCTTCTCAAATGTGAATATTTGCTCATTTTCTAAGTCTTCTACAATAGTAAAGTGAACATTTTTGTGTTCCGGACAGTTGCTTGAGAAATAAACACTGTATGACATCATCTTGGGCTCAGTCTCAATCTTCCCCAACAAACCATGCTTTATTTACTCAACCATTTTTGGCTATCTTGCCTTCATCAGAACCTGATCCTAGTCAACTGTTTAATTTTGGAAAAATGTATATTTTGACAATTTTAGATTTAATTTAGGCAAAGCTCTTGTATGGCTGCTTGTGTTAAGACATTTAATATTTCAGAACTTTTACCTATTACAGAATTGAAGAGTTACACAGACTGTATTTAATCATGTTGTATGATGGTCCTTTTTTACAGTTACTGTATTCATTTCTTACTGTGCAAAAGCCTGTGTATCTTCTCTGTAGTCTTTCACTGCAACATCAATTTTCCCAACATAAACACTAGCAAGTTAAGATTAAATTGTTTAGAAGCATGTCAATGTCTGTGCATAGCCACATCACACAGAAATGCCATCTTAACCACGTATGAAATAGTTGATTCAGCAAATTAAAAAGGTCCACGCGCTCCATAAAATGGATTAGTTTCAACAATATTGACATCACCACCCTCATAATGATACACATTCCTACTGGCTAACTCTGCTCAAACAATGCGGGCTGTGGATAACTGGCTACATACTAAACTGACAGGAAAAGGCCCCGTCATTGTTCAGTCCCAGTGTCCGCTAAAAGACAACACAGAGGTCATGGGATCATACAAACAAACACTGGATGTGCTGTTAAACCTCACCACCTCAGTCTCCTGACCTGCACAGTCCTACAGGCAGCACTCATAATCTGTTTGCTTGACTGGACTAAGCAGTGCAGTTTTACAAACACACCAGGCTTGGCAGCAGCTAAAACTTGAGATTAGGCTTGTTCCTTAGCAACAAACTGAGCGGTGAGATTATAGAAAGTGGGATTACAGCTAATGAGGCGTTCAGGGATTCAAGAGGGAAGTGTTTGGAGGTGTCACTGGTGACACATCAAGAGGATTCTCTTGACAGGAGTCATTAGTGTCACTGAGATGTTACTGAAGATAATTGGTCAGCAAGCGGACCAGGGAATCCCTGTGGGATGATACAAGCTTTATGAAGTGGAATGAAGTGTGTGTGTGTGTGTGTGTGTGTGTGTGTGTGTGTGTGTGTGTGTGTGTGTATAGGGGCTGTGACTGTCCTTTAAGGAAAGAGGCCATCCATCTGCTGTGTGGAACTGGGTGATACATCAATTCAACACTGATACTGCGAAACTAAACAAGATATTGATACTGTGATACTTTTTAAATGCATTATACTTAACTAATGCAATGATGCAACACTGACTTTGCAAGCTGCATTATTGCCATGGACCAAAACCACATAACTACTATAGAAACATTTTTTTTATTAAAGCAACAAATTGATTAGTCAAAGAAATTAGTTATGGTCAACAAATAATTTCTCTTGTGAAGTTTAACCTGGAAAAAAACTACAATAAAACAATGAATAACTACTTCTTTGATTTGTTCTAAAAATGTTCTGGCTTGTAAATATCTTCTTAAAGCATTAACAATCATTTCCAAGGTCACCACTTCACATTAAATATACAAGTGAAATAAAAAAAATATTTTGACAATATTACCAAACCAGAGATTAAGTAAAGCTGAAGATCACGAAACTGTGGACCTACATCTTCACTGCCGGTTGATATAATCTAATGGGCTCTGTCTGGTGCCATTGATCATACAGTAAATGCTACAGGTCAGGAGGTTCACAGAGAGGAATGCTTGAAGAACAGCCACAGCAACATGCTGCAAGAGCACCAAATAGCTGAGCCGTTCTAAACAAAATATATACAGCTTCCTTCCCATTAAATCTACCAGGAGCTTTGTAGTCCGACCATAGCTGCTGCAGTTTTGCACAGTAGAGCCACCTTTACTGATGAATCGAGAAGTAAAAGTATTACAGCTGATGATTCATACCCTGGATTGCTGTTACAGGGAACAAAGCACACATTTACCCCAGAGACAACAACAGGACATAAATGTTGTTTCACTGAAAGTGAGAATTGGCAACCTTTGTGAAGTGACATTTAGCTCTTTGCTTCACCTCCCTATTGAAGATGTCACTCATAGATCTCTGGCTGCTTTGATCTCCAGTCTCTGTTTGTAGTCTCCCTCATGCAACACCCGCCAGAGACCTTTCGAGGTGTCCCTTTTAGCCACACGCTTCTCCACACTTCTCTGTATCCTTCTCATGCTGCTTTAATAAGAGCTTATCAATTGTAGGTGCAACATTCATAATTTCTCTGCAAATAATCATTAATTCACATCATCACTTACTTTTCTGAATAAATAAAGTTCTGCAATAGTTCGAATGCACCTGGGGCTGTTGAAATTGCATTACATCCTTCACCAATTTGCCAATGTAGAAAATACATCAACGAATATCTTTGTACACCACTGTATATCTATTCAAGCATTTTGCACTGACCATATTTCTGACCTTTAGTTAACCATTTTTCATCCATAAAATTGAAGAGAATTTGATGCATATCAGCTGATATTCCAGTGTCATCAAACTCTTATATGCAGAACAGAACTAGCAGCACTTTAACTTTCTCTACTCTCCTCTTAGTGTTGATTTAAGTTTTGCTCAGTCACCTGAGTGGTGCAATAAGTATATCAGCTGCAAATGCTGGAGCTTTGATAGGCAAGAACTGTGATTTTTTTTTCAAAGAAATAAAATCATAAAATGTATGACTGTGTATCTGAATACTGCTAACCCCTTAGACTTGATGATATAGTGACTAAATAGTTGCACATGCGTTTTACTTCAAGCAAGCGTATGTTGCATGTCAAGTTGCCATGAGGTCTTTCTGTCTCTCAAGAAATTACTGCAAACTTCCTTTTTTGGGCAAGAGCTTGATGATTCATATCCTTTAGAGCACTAAACCACATTCTGCAAAGCTGTGGCACAGCTCATCTTCTTAATGTTCTACCTGTAACGCTAACCCAACCTAATCCCTTTTTAAAGATATTGTAATGATATAAAAGGACACTAGAACTGGCTATATGTTATGCCAGTAGATAAAATCATGCTCGGTCCCGCCAAGCTGAGGATATAGTGCAACACATACCAAAGCTTTGGGGAAGTGTTGCACCAAGAATTGCAGAGAGAGCTCTTGTTTGAGCTGATGCAATGCAGAGGAACCCAACCTCAACAGAAATAAGAAGAGAGTCAGAGAAAAAAATCTAAATGCAATAAGATTAAATTTAGAGAAGGAACATGCTCGAAAAGCTGTTATGAGCTTGTGATAACTGATGAGGTGAAAAGCTATTGGAGCGTTTTAACAACCAAGATAACTTTCGCAGGATATCTATTAAAAAATGTTTTTTCACTACAGAAGACTAATCAGATCCACATAGAAAATAAGTGACAAAAAGAGGTGGCTCTGAGAGAGAGAGAAACAAAACACGCCTCTATCCCAGGAAGGACCAGAACAAATAGGAAGCTTTAAAAATAGCTGGTGAGAAATCCCTGCGTACAGCAGCAGGAAGCGACAAGTGAATGGGATAGCCAAGGTGCCAGCTGAAAGGTCAGGGCTTATTCCCTTGCTCTACTCAGCTCTTTCAGTGACATGCCCAGATTCAATCTGCCTCTCTGGGCAACAGACTTGGTGGAGGTAACAGATTCTACACAATGCAAGATTGCAGGTGTTGGTGGTTTGATGGTTTACTTAAAGAATAGCAACAGTCTGATATTATACAACAGATGGAATGAACATGTTACATTAACATTCAACCAAATTACAGTTTAAAAGCAAAATTCTGGAGTAAAAAATGTGAAATACAATATTGATGGTCTTTACAGACATTTCAAAGCACTGAGGACTATCATTTCTGTGAGGAAGTGCTTCGCAAAGGCCGCCATTGAGGCAGAGAAAAGCCATGTTGTGGCTGAGGTGGACCAGACAATGTGAGAAAGACGGACTAATCATTACTAGCTCTGACTGGTCTGTGAGTGGAGGGGCTGGCTAGCATCTCTGCATATATTCCCCTGTGAGACTGAACTATAACAGAGAGGCTTAAAGGCGTAAAAATGCAACTCAGAAGTATCATGCACAGAGAGGGTTGACTCTCACAAAATGTGTTTTTTATGATAAGAAATAGACAAAAGCAAACTAATTGTAGCATTTGTTAAGATTTATATAAACAATTTAGAATTAACTTATAGCTTCTACACCATAGCCAGGATGCACACACCTTGAGTACAAGCTAATTTGTGCAACATTTTATGGTTCAGACAAGTTGCTTTTTATCTTATCTGTGAGCTGCTTGAAAATGTGCAGAACTTATTATACTGATGTCAGGAAAATACCTACACTGAAATTTTTACATGCTGATCCTTTAATAGTTAACTCAACCTGCTTACAGCCAAGCAGACAAGCAGAAACTGCAAAATGAGACATCCGGCCCGTGCTGCAAGGCCACAGATTCTCAAGTTGAGATGAAGAAAATGAAAAGGCTGCAATAGAAATATGTTATCTGAAAAGTTCCCCACCTCTTATAAGGTGGAAATAAAGAGATATCTCCATTTATCAGACACAGGAAGAAAAGGGAGGATTCACAGTGTGGTTGAGCTCTTTGAGAAATCACTTATCAGCCATTCAGCCAAGCACACGGCTTAACTATCACACAAAAGTTGATGCCACTTGAGCACTTTTGATCTCAACAGATTTTAACCATGTGCACTTGACCGTGAAAACCTTCATAAAGCCAACATGGAGGCTGATTTTAGGTGTGAGCCCTCCGGGCCAATTCAAATTGTAAAAGAGATGAGTTCCAGGAAGTGTCAGAAAATTATCCTCTTATACCACATAACATGTAGGGTCTCACACACACACATTTACATTGGACTATGTCACCCATACGATTAAACTTGTGACCCTGTAGTCAGTGCATTCACTCATAATGTGTATTATTGTGAACAAGTGAATGCAATGGCTGACATTATCGTTACCTAACGGCCAACAATGTCAGCGCAGATCAGGCTCAACACCCGGAAATGAACAACTAATGATTAATTCTTAACTTCTCACTGCCGCCGGGTAAGTTTATGACTCAACAATAAATTGAAGGAATTTGAGACCGTAAAACTGCGACAGCAACCTGATAAATCTATATTTAAAAAAAGCCACAACCCCGACTGCAGGAAGTTGCTCTTTGATAGAGATATCCTTTCCATAAATGACGTTCATGGGTTTAAGTTAGCCAACATGTTTTTAAGAAATACTTAAAGGTGCTAACTTCACCACAGCAGCTCAGGGGTGTTTCCTAGTCAGTTAAAACGAGTTATTAGAAGAGTTTAATCTATGTTTCATCAACTCTTACCGTTACACTGCTGGTAGGCTGGGACAGTCTCCTGTGAATGGTGGTGAGAGCGAGTGAAGTGAAGCGGTGGAGGAAAATCTCGGGCAACGACCGCTAACAGAGAACACCACATCCGGTCCACCACCTTCAAAATAAAAGCAGGTTATTACAATGATTTTAGGAAAATTCACAAGCTAACCAGCAATATGTAAAGTAACTGAAATGACTCTCATCTTTACTAGCTACACATGAATGTCTGAGTAATATAATCAGCATACATTATTCTGAAGGCGGCCATTCTTCATAATAAATACTTATGGTACTAATTATATATTTTGATGTCGCACTTTTAAGTACGTAAAATTTTGAATTCATGACTTGTTACAGATTATATCCGCACCGTGCTATTGATATTTGTAATTATGTAAAAGATGTAAGCACTCCTTCCAACTTAAAAATTCAAATGTTGCTTGCATGTTAATCCATCAATAATCTACTAATGTAAATATATAAATAAATATAACACTTTAATCTACATAATGAGTACTTTTATTTTTCAAGCCCATTTTGTCGATTATATTTATTTTCCTTTCTTTTTCGAAAGCAGGACTTTTACTTGTAACAGATTGTTTTTATATTGTGGTACCACTACTTAAACTTAAATAAAGCATCTGAATATTTTTCCTCCAAGAACAATCATCTATATTACAGGATTTTATTGGATGACATTATGTTGTCCATCCATTGCTTCACTTATTTTGTCCACCCGCCCATAGATAACGCCACTATGAGAATGTTGTGAAGACTCAAGTAACTCGTCTTCCACGATCAAAGGGAAAGAGAATAAAATCGATTCGCTTCAATCATGAAAAACTAACCGGAAATGGTATTTGTTAACAATTTAAACCGGTGTCAGTAAACACGCTTCCGGGAGAAATGGCTTTTGACGTGCGTGGGCATGCAGACCTGCATTGCACGCTCACAAATCGTTGCCTGTGGCGGTCCAGACATTCTAAAGTTTGTTCATTCCTCTTCCCCCTCAGCTTTAGCTTTTTCAGACTTGACATCTCCAGTGCGGCAGTTTATGAACAAACACATAAGTTTTTATCCACCGGGGTGGTACATTCACGCTATAGGCGAGAAGGTACAGATAGCAAATACTTTTCAAAAACTCAAATTGACATTACTTTTACATCATATATGGTTGTTACATGCATTGACTGACAATACAATGCCATCTAGTGGCTGTATTATGGTGGTGCCATTAAAACAGTCATGGGGTAGATGCATTGTTTGTATAATTAAGAACATGACAGCCAAAGTTGCTGTGGGAAATTCCTGATCCTACATGATTGGTCACTTACAATAAATAGAAAAGTATGTTTATAGCACTTATTTTGTAGTTGGATCTTTCAGTGGTTTCACTGGTTTCAGTTGTTGCTTCTGGGGAAAAACTGACGCTACATTAAAATAAGTATAAAAAGAAAATCGATTTTTTTGTCATTGGTTTAAAAAAAAAAAAAAAAAAAAAAAAAAAAATTACAAAATGTTCTTAAATGGATTGCAATCTATTGTTTATTCCCAGACATTAAAAGTATGTAGAAAATGGAATCATTTAAGTGTAACACAAAATAATTATGGCATTTTGTTGGACTAAATTAAAAAAACAATTTAAAAAAAGGACTACGAGAACAGACAAACAGCATTTGGTTAATATGCACTGCAGGTTTTATTACAAGCCTCAGTAACTACAGGGTAGAGGAAAGAACTGGGAGACCCCAATTCACATTAACCTACAGTCAAAACCATTTTCATCAGAAAAAAAGGAAAAAAAAAAAAAAAAAAAACACTGGTAAAAAACACTTTGGAGCATTTAAAAGAAGAAGTTGGAACAATAAATTCAATCACAGAGGACAACCAAGTGTAAAATACTCTGCACATTTTTAACAACCACCCTTCTGTGCAGACAGGAAGGGGAAGAAACCCGGTGGAGCTTCATTTCTTAGCTGGTGTCCATCTGAGAAAACAAAACAAGAGTGAATTAGACAGTTGCCAAAACAAGATTGGTTAATTAGTGACAGGTACCATCATACTGACAGCTGAACATACCCTGGCATTATAGGCATCTAACTGGGCGTCAAGTTCCTCTGCTGACAGCTGCTGCTTGCTGCTACCACCACGGCCGCCTCCGCCTCGACCCTTTCCTCTGGCACCGCCTGCACCACGTCCTCCGCGGCCTCTCTGCATGCCCCCAAAGCCGCCGCCACGATTTCTGTTCATGCCTCCACCACCTCTGTTCAGACTGAAATTTTTTTCCCCCATCACATATAGTGTCCAAAGATTGAAGTCAACTTTCTTAAACAAAAAGACCGCTACACTTACCCCTGCATAGGTCGCCTCTGTGTGTCAATCTGTGATGTGACGAGCTGTATGTTCATAGGCCGCCCTAGAGACAAAGATGCCATTAACGTCACATTTTGGGCCAGGCAGTAGTGGTCAACGATCAGTTGAGTAATTTACCAAAAAAGAAGAAGAAAAAAAAAAAGCCAATCACATAACACAAAGTTAACAGTAGTTGTTGCATTTCATTTGTGTCTGAGGCATACCATCAAGTGGGATGCCATTGTACTGTTTCATGGCCTTGAGGGCATCTGCCCTCCTTTCAAAGTGGACATCTGCGGTTCCCAGGCTTCTTCCTGATCGGTCATAATGAACTGCAGCCTTTTTCAGAGTCCCAAATTCAGCAAAAAGTTCCTGAAAAGGAAAGCAAACCCTGAGCAGCTATCTCTGTTGTTCGCTGTTCAGCACACCAACATACAGCAGACACGCTCCTCCTACTACAAACAAATGGTTGAAGGTGAAAACCCAAATACCTGAATGTCTGCATCTGAGACTCCAAAGTCGAGATTGGAGACGAGGAGCTTCCCTCCAGTTTCCACACCAGCTCCTCCGCCACCACCAGCAGCGCCATTGAAGCCGCTGAAGCCATTGTCGAACATGTCATGCTGCCACTTATCTGGAAGCTGTTTAGGCTGCAACAGATGAAAGAGAACGCACCTGCTGACTTCAGGATCCCCTTGCCTCTGTCAATCACAGAGTCCACACGGCTGGGTGTTGGGGCAAGCAGGGGCTCCACTTCCAACAGGGCCAGGGTGCTCAGCTCCCCCAAGAGGGTCCCCAATGTTCCCTGCCCACCCCATCACTACAAGCAAGTGAATCAGTTCAGACAGAAGGACATACACAGGACAAACTTAGCCATAAAAGCAAGGGGATGTAATGTATATCATCGCTATTGCACACACACTATATATAATTTAGATGAATATGAGGTCTAGTGGCATCTGCCGAGATTGTATTTATCAGTGACTACTAAGTCAAAACTGACCAAAATGTGTTACCCCAAACCCACCCACAATATCTATATGACACCCTGAACAACTTGTACCAATATTGCCCATTGTTCTCTTGCCATCTGCGCCTCCACCAAAGGCTCTCCAGATATGATCCTCGGGTACACAGGGGGTCGCCATCTGAAGCAGCGTTGCCTCCAGCGTTGCACCATGTTTCCTGGCCCGCCCAAGAGTTCTTTACCAAGCCACGAAATTGGCTTTCACGAAGGGGAATTGTCCATAGGGAGTGGGGATTGACCAGAAAAACAACTAGAAAATGGGCAGCTATCCCCTTTATGCGAGAGTGGATTATCTGAGCGTCCATTTTGAGACCACGCCATTTTGATTGGGACTTTGTTGGGTTTGTCTAGATACTCATTCACACTTAAGGAGTGAAGATTTGCCTTATATGAACACTATCAGGGGGGTTGAAGTCCACTGATCCATCCACAAGTAACAGCCACACTGGTTGAAAAGCCACCAAATAGGCCTTGTTGTGAAACCCGCCAGCCACTCCCGAACAAAAGGCCGCCAGGACGCTGCACCGGGACACGGACAAAAACTATGCTCCCAAAAGTGGTGAAAAAATCATTTGCGGGCGAATTTTCTCGAAGTGGTTTCCTTTCACCATCATTTTGACACTTGGGGTGGAAAAGATTGTTACTGCCCGAGGAAGACTAGCTCTAATTTAAGGTGCTGGCTTCAAAATGGCGCCGCCAAGGCCTTCACGATCCAACTTTTGTTAGTTAGCCAATATGGCTAACACATTCGCTCTCTCCAAAAGGCCTCTTCTTGGAAAATGATGCAACACATATGGGTTGTGGGAGAAGGGACAAACTATGTATATAACTTCCATAAATGCTTAACCGCAAATTATAGAGCTCTCCTCCGAGGGAAACTCGGCGGTTAGCGATTACTTTATTTGCTTGACTAGCAAGCTGGCTAGAAGGTTAGCTGGCAAGCCTACTGGAGAATAGAAGGATGTTACCCAGGCATTTTCAGGTTTGCCGAAGGTTTTCCTTTTTCTGCCCATTCCTCTAACTTTCTCATACCCTGCTGTAAGGCGTTGGTCTGCCTCTAGCGCGGTTCAGGTTCTGTCGGTTCCTCATGGGGCCGGATCCGCCGCCTCGGACTCCAAATCCTCCGCCGCCGACTCCAAGACGCCCAGCGCCTCCTCCTCTGCCACCGCCTGAGCCTCCGCGGCCTCGACCTCTTCCACCGCGGCCTCCACCTCTCTGCTGCCTGTTCTGCTTGATAATGTCGTCTAGAGACATATCCATTTTATCGGTCATTATGCTGCCCCAGTAATGCTAAACTGTCAACAAAATATAAAAAAATACACCCTAGTCTCGATTGGTCCCTCTCCCTGCCTTTTCACAGCTCCACGCTCTCTGCACCGCCGAAAAAATACAATGAGCAAGTGACCGTTGTATATAGACGAACTGTTCGGTACGTACTGCGCGTAAACTTGACGTCATCACGTAATACGAGAGCACAAGGAACAAACGCTATCTTAATGCGAAACGCTACCAAAGATCCTCTATACTATACTGTCTACTGTCTCTGATGCTACTGTGATTTACCGCTAATGCAAAATGTAATGTGACATTCTCATATTATCAACGTGCATGACAGGATCATGTTACTCAGTGACTAATATTCATAGTTTAAGTTTTATTTCCCGGATTCAATTCATTTGGAGCCGAAAAAGAAAAGGAATCTGCAGCT